CTGGGGAATCCTGGGAGTTGGAGTCCACCCACCTTAAAGTCATCAAAGTTGAGAAACACTGGCTTAGTGGTATCACTTTATGGTCAAAGTCTTGATTTCCCCCATTTTAGTTTCAGTGAGTGGAGATGAACAGTCACAGGGCCCAGTGCAATTCGGGGATGTCTGCAAAATGCTGAAAGCTTCGTCACACCATTACAACGCACGACACACGCTCTACCCTTTTTGTATGTGTTGGTGATGTTGTGACCTAAATACAAAAGGAGTGGTGATTTTCAATACAATGGCATGACTCTGCTTTTGTTCTCTCTCCTGCCCTGCGGACGCTTTTGGCGCAAACTTTTGTAGAAAGTCCCACATTGGATTGGAAAGGTTGCCCCTTAAAATCCCCAATTTTTCTGAGCTGCTTTTCCTGAGACTTCAGTGAAAACAAGCTGGTTCTCTTTTAAAGCATACAGAACTTTTTTTCAGGCATACTGCTGTATTTTCAGCTGGATTCATCCAGTGTGCTAAATTTTAACATCGTGTTGGGGTGCGGGGGGGTTGGCTAAGTGTAATTAGCAATCTGGTTCAGTGAATACCGTACAGGTCATGTAATGGCAGTGGACCACTTAAAAATCTAGGTTTGTTTCTGGCTTACTCTTTCAACTCTGATTTGGGTTGTGGTTTTCTGGCTGGGTTTTTGTGTCTGGCTCAGCTATCTGTAGGCACAAGGCAACTACAGCTTTGAAAACAAAGATGAAACAAACCATAAACAGTTGGAAAACCCCGCTTTCCCTTGCACTGGTGATGTTACCTAGTTGGGTAATGAAACGTCAGCAAACAAGCAACCAAGCTCAGAGAGCACCAAGAAGTCCACAAACTAGAAATTGCCCAAACAGGTCTTGATTTCATTTCTGATCTGCAGGGCTGTCTTTAGCTTGTTCAATTTTATTTTAAGAACAGTTAAAACCAAATATGGTTTAGTATGATATGTGAACCTAACCGTTGACAGAAATAAGCAACCTTCTGGATTGGGTAATCAGAGTCTATAAAGGAGTGTATTCCCCACTTCTTTAGGATTTTGCTGGTTGGTTTTTTTAAACATCACAAACTCAGATACAACAAGTTGAAGAATCTTTATTGAAGCATTTAGGAAGTATCTAAATTAGGACTGTATTCCAGCAAAACTGCCAGCTTGATATAAAAACATTAAAATTTATATTAACAATTATAACTTTAACCCTTCTCCCATGAACCCAAGTTAATATAAATCATTGCACCAAATAAACAGTCAAAAGGAAGACAAGAATTAAATTTGCACTTTAGAAAAATCAACCCTTAATAGTTGGAGTTAATTGTACACTTAACCACCCTCCATCAAGACAGAGCAAGGCAATGTTTAACCCTTAACAAACATTTTGGTCATTAAAGCCTGTTGCTGCAGTACCCATGGAAGATCTTGAGTCAACTCTAGCTGAGCTCCAAGCAACACTTACTATGGGGAAGAGTAAACTAGATATGATGATCATTACCTCTTAGATGGTCTCTCAACCTCCATAAATAATATTAAGCAGAACTTGAACTCTTTACGCCCACTTGAGTGTAAATGATAGAAGTTAATAGATCCTCAAGTAAGTTATTAGGACAGAACTCTAGCATTTGCTATAAGATCTAGTTTGATGAGGCCCCCATAACTTATGTTAGTCATGTTTGGATCCTTGGGTTTTAAAGCAGAAAAATTTCTATTTCCAAATAAGCAACTTCTACAGCTACAACCACGTGGATCAATTTGGGAATTTCCTTTTTGTCAAGGGAATGGCATTTTCTCTGCCTAGGCTGCATTATAGTCTCAACATTGGACTACTGCCACCACCACCACAAAATAAATGATTCTGAGAATAGCCACTCCTTAATTCATTATCAGTGCTAGGATGGGATCATCATCTTCAATTGCTGAGAATAAGGCTGTCTCTTAGCTTACACAAGCCACATGGAGTTCTGTTAGATGCTACAGTGTTCCCCAACTGCTGCCCTTCCAGGATGTTGAATTTCATTTCCCACAATTCTTGGGTTCTGGCTGGAAACCGGTCCAACGTAGCCAGAGAGCAGCAGACTGGGGAAAACTGCGATACAGAGAAATGCTGTTCATTAAAAAAAAAAAAATCAATCATCTCTTTTTTGTGAAACACCTATTTTAAATCAGGAGAACATCGGAGGGGTCACTTGCAGCCAATTCTCTCAGGGAATAATTTGCTCTGATTAACAGAGAAAGAGCTAAATCTGTCTCAAAAACAAAGGCATAATTAATCAGCTGGGTGGGGAATAAATGCTTGAATATCTACTCTTGACTTTAAAAACCAAGTCAGCTCAGTGTGTATATTTCTTTTCCATAGTGCAGTATTGTATAATAAGCTAATTTCTCTGAATATTTACAATATTTAACAAATGTAACCAACTGATGAGAAAATCTAGCAAGAGAAAAAAAACACCAATATGCCACCAGTCATACAGTCACTGTATCATCGTCTGCCCAAAAATGCAGCACAGGACAATAAGGGGTTGTTTCCTTCAATGCAAATCTTTCAAACTGGGTTTTGTTCTGTGTGACGTCTCCTACTTCTTAGCAGCCAGTGAGCATAGCCGTGGCAAGGAACCTGTAACAGCTATGCTGAGTCAACTCTTTTAGGGCCCTGTGAAATGGCAAAATCTTGTTCTTCCTCTCTTGTCTGCCAATAGTGCTGAAAAGTAATGGACAGATATCTGTTGAGGCAAAGATTTAGGGAATTTTAAAGCAAGCTTAATCCCCAAAGGAAGTGCCCTATGAACAATAAAAGCAGCTAGACCTTGAAAAATATTTTAAACGCTTTTTAAATAAAAATAGCGAGCAGCTGGTTGGCTTAGCAAATAGAAACTAGATTTGTTTATTCCCAGCACCAAGTGCAATTCAGTTTAGAAAACCAAGAAATGTCCGTGCAAGGCACCTTTTTAATTTTTTTTTTTTTTAAAAAGAGCCAGGCATTCCTTGGGACTCCATTTGGAGTTGGCTTCTAATTCTTGCACATTCCCTGGTAAAGAGGGGAATGTTCTTAAGCCGTTCGGAGTCCAACCTTGGCAGTAAACGGGTGTGCAGGACAAAAGAGGAATCATAACCAAGCAGACAAGTAAAAAGAAAGTAGAGAGAACAGCCTTCCACTAATCTTTGTGCAAAATCTCCAGTCGATCACACCTTAATAGCAATTTGTACTGACTACCTCTGGCACGGTTCACATTTTAAATGCATCATTCAGTTCCCTGCTCTGGAGGGAAGTGCCCTTTTCTTTTTTCTTTTTTTTTTTTGTACAAAGTCTTAATGCACAGACCCTTGCTTTTATCTAAGACTCTCTTGTTCCTCAGATAGAGTGCTGTCATTTCCCAAAGCCTGGGCCTTGGTGCCCGGGGAAACGTCCACGGTTTCCTGGGTGAGAGGCGTGCTTTCGCTGAATGGATCGGCGTTCTCCTGCTTGAGGGGAGAAGCAGTGGGTTCTCCTCTGTCCAAGTCAGTAGCGTGACTCACTGAGCTGGTTTCGCTGACCCCATCCGAGTTCCTCCCGGACCTTTTAAACAGTTTTTGACCTGGAATGAAACATGAGAATGTGAAAGATTTGCCTCTGTTTCTATTAGCCTTGCATGGTCCAGGCAAGAAGCACACCCAGAAATATTAGCTCTAACTTTATTGTAAGGTTAACAGAATCTTGCAAGTCTGAACATACATCTCTTCCCCCCTCACCTTTACAGTCCAAAAAACTAGGGAAGGTCCCTTCTGAGACATTTGCCACATCCCCATTCCTTCTGCGGACTCAGCTGATGCTTCTCTGACCATTGTCTAGGCTGTGGCTCTTCTTCCTGTCTCCCAAGGTCATTCCCCCATACCATCACAGTTTCAGTGGGCTATGAATTTCTTTCCTTTTTAAAAAATATGCTATTTTACAGTTTTTACAGCCTGCTCAATAGTGAGCAGCTGGTTAAAGCTAGATGTATTTATTCCAAGTACAATTCAGTTTAGAAAAGCAAGAACCAACACATTAAAACTGTAAAAGCAACAAAGAAAAACAATCAACATTTGAAACAAGGATAATAAATCCACCCTCCCCCAAGATGGATATCAATAAAACTTAGCTAGGTTTTAGCTTAATTAAGGTTTCTGAAATTGGGTAGAAAGCTGACATGACAGTCATTTTATCTTGGTCAGTGACTAGGTCATTCAGAAGTTGGTATAAATTAGTATAAAATAAATTCAAAGCTAAAACTATGAAATTTATCTCATCCACAGTAAAAAAGGAATTATGAAAGCTCTCTTGTGCAATTAAGTTGTAACAATGTTTTCCTTCTTTAATCCTAAAAAACACTATATAATTTAGTCCCCGGTGTGCAGCATTTAGGAATGTTTACAATTCTGGGCAAAGATAAAGACATTTAAAAAAAGAGAAAGCTTCTAATTCTGATTTTAAATTACAGGCAATTCCTGATTTTTTTTTTTAAATATACATCTTAAATAGACAAAAACATAGACTGCAGATAATCTGCAAGTCCTATATGGCCAATGTTCAACCAGTCTGATGTGTGTTTAATCTACCATCTTCCCAGAAATTCACGATAGGCAGCTCTTTTTACAAAAACAAATTAAGAGAAAGACATATCAGCTTGTTCTGCCCTTCCATGGCAGAAGAGGTGAGGATTACCAAAGGAGATCCTGAAGAATGTCATTGATTCTTTTGGCAAGACTCCTTGAAATAGAATTTGACTCTTGGCAACTACATGGGCACATTCCTGTAGCATGGTTATGTGGTGATTTGCCAGTGAACCTTCTGAGATACTTTTTTAAATTTATATATTTATTTAATTAATTAATTTTGACTTCCCAGTCTCAGCTACAGCCTTGGGATTTCCTCTCCCCAGATCGGATCCTACTTAACTTCTTAGAGATCCGCCAAGATTGACTAGGTTTCAAGGGCTATTGATTACTGTTTTACTCTTCTCTTCCTCCAAGAAACTTTCATAGATGTCTCAGTCACTAAGAAGGACAAGGCCACTTGCTTACCTTTGGAGGTGACCAAACAGATGAGCCTAGCTCCTACTGGTCCTATTCTAACGCTGCATTATAAGCTAGAACATGGAAAGGATTCCTGTCGATGCTTTTTTTGAAAAAGAATAAAATAAAAATGGAGATGAAGCCAACTTACCAGGAAACTTCTGTTTAACACGGCCTGATGTGGGAGTGGGAGGTGGAGTGATCCCAGTGCCCTGTACTTTGGATATGTATGTTGTCTCTGTGGATTCCAAAGAACCTGCCAAAGAAATAAGGTGCCACCTGTGATGGAATGGCATGGGACTGGAAGGGGGGGAAAGAACGTGATCTCGTCTCCAGAGCAACGCACTGGAGATAAGAGCCGAACGCTGACGCCCCCCTAACATTCCAGGAGATAGTGAATTCCTGTTCCTGGGAACTGCTGGCCAGTCTGAGAAGAGTCTGTGAACAAGCCCTAGCTAATAAAACTTGCTGATTGAACCTGCACGGTCTCCAGGAGTTCCTTGGGCTAGGCCTGACACCACCATACCAGATCCAGATAAATGCATGTATCATATGATGCACCCAATGAAGTAGGACACATTGATCTTTTAAGGCCCTTGGACCCATGAGTTCCTAGTTTGATTGCAGTAGGGTAAAGTCTCAAAGCAAAAACGTGCAATGTTTATCTGACCATGCCAAGGTGACTTTTCTTGGAATTATAAATCTCCGAAGTGATTGTTTGGAATTGCCTGAGAAAGTTCAGAAATCATCTCAGTTTCCAATTAAGAAAGGTGAATCGCAATGTTGGTCACAAATCAGAATAATTCTAGACAGACAAAACTGGCTGTACTGTCGTAAGAAGTACGGGAAAGATTTGGAACGGAGTCAGAGGTGACCCATATTCTGGCCTCTCTATTTGGACCTTGGAAGCTTTCAAGTCTCCTGAAATATTAGCTCGTGTTTCCTGCTAGGTTCTCCAACAAAAAGCTGATGGTGAATCCGTGCACAATCTGAAGAAACGACATCTGAAGACCAATATATGTTTCCTCATGACATTATGGACAACAGTGAATTACAGCTATGCCCTTCCTCTCTTGGGGTCCATCCCTGTTCATCCCTGGCATGCAGGGCCTCCCAGGACAGAGCTACCCTTCCTCTATGGTAGACCAATGCTGAGTTCAAACACTGCCCACAATAGCCTGGCTCATGTGTTCAGCCATCCCTCATGGGTCATGAGCCATGATGATTAGATTCTTCCATCTCAAAAGGAGATGATTACGTAACATGGCATTCCAGATGTTGCTGAACTACAACTCCCAGCATCCCTCCCCATCAGCCATGCTCCTTAGGGATGTTGGACAATACAGATCTGCAAGAATGGAAGAGCAGAGTTTGCCTACGCTATACTATGTAAAAAATAAACATTGTAGTATCCTATACTACAAGATGCACACTGAAGTGTCTAGGCAAATTCTAGACACCCTGCTTCTTACAACGACCAACCCTTATGTCCAAGCAATGATGTCAAAATAGAAGAGGATAAGCCTGGATGTTGGCTATAAACATCTTCAAGTTGGCTAGCTGCAAAGTCTCCCGTGTTTCGCTGTCATCTCAGGATAATGAATGCTGGTCAAGACTCACCTGCCGTTAGGTTAAAGGTTTGTCCCTTTGGTGAGGCATGAAATGGAGAAAACCAGTTGAGGACAGAGCCCACCACAGGAATCTGTCGAAGTAAACCCTGGGAGAAACAGGAGAATAAAATGAAGCGTTCTTGCCCAGCAAAACATCCAGGAGAGGTCTGGCACCAAGAAGATGACTTCCTGCATTCTGCTCACCTCTTCCAGGAGCCGTTCCTCATTTGCTTTTTGGAGCTGAACCTGGGCTTCCTGGATGCCTTTTCGGACCACCTCAGTCATGTTTTCCAGCAACTGATCAGAAAGAGAAGCAACTGAATTTGAGGAACGTTACTTGCCTTTCTAGTCTTTGTGAAAATATTTAAAGTAATGAAAGGAAAGGGAATTATTTGAATAAAGGAGTTTCATGAAAACTGTAAGTAGAATCATTGTTCGATCGGAAGTTAGGGGAAATAAGGAATTCCACATTTTCCAAGGTATCTTATAAAAACAGTGATGGGGGGTTAAGAGCTGTGTTTTTTCTTTTCCTCTGCTCTGAATGCCACCTTCATGCTACTAATACCCTCATTAATACACAAGTTGCTCCCATAGGTTAATTTGAGCATTAATAGTGTCATTTAATTTATCACTGATGACTTCTGAAAATTAAATAAATTGCACTCCAAAAGCTTTGGGGGAAAGCCCATTATTGCTTTTCCAATGACATAAAATCAATCCATTAATTGCCTACTTCTTTACAGAAAGTTACTGAAATTAAAGCTGGAGAGCGAGGAGCTACTTAGCAATCTTTTTTTTTAAAAAAAAACAATTTGATTAAGATGCTGAAAGGAAAAGGCCAATTCCCAGTTTGCTAACAAATTTCTCCTTTGTTCATTAGTCAATCCTTACAGTAATTAACACCTCGTACGGATTAAAGGGTGTGCAACTGGGAACTGAGCCTTTGGAATAATATTACTACTGTACTTCGGTTTTAAAGCAAGATAGTTAAATGTTGGATCAGGATTTATAACAGTAGAGCCTAGCTTACTTGGGCTAGCTAGGAATTCTGGAAAATGCTATTCCAAGACATCTGAGTACAACAAGCTGGGAAATATGGTTCTCCTGTGCAATCCTAAAATAGGTCTTTCTCTTCTGCTGAAGGCCTGGTCTTCAAAAGAAGGACTGTGTCCTTACAGGAAGGTGGAACAGAGCTTGGTTGTAATTGAACTTGATTTTTAAAGAGAAGAGAATTGTATAGAAAGGAAGACACACTACTATGGTTAAAAGAGAATGCAGGCAAGGAGTTTTTCTCAAGCCTGGTGCAACCACCATCTACCAACATCCCTCAACTAAATCTAGAGAAGAAAAGGTGGTCATGTATGATAAATTACATACCTAGTTAGTTTATTATACATGACCACCTTTTCTTCATAGTTATATAAACTATGTCCCATGTACCTAGAAGGTGGGGTGCTGGAACTTGATCCTGTGTGCTTTTACATGATAAGATATTGTAATTAACCAAGATCTAAAGATCTGGACTGTTGTTTCTGATCAGCAATGCTTTATTAGTACTGAACAAGCTACTCTTGAAGCTAAAGAAGAGATTCAAAAGGACACTAGGGGACACTGTTTACTTCAAAATAGCCCAAGTTGGAACCCTTAGATGGCTTAAAATAACTCAATAGAACCTGGCCAACGTTACTGATAGTGGAGACTACCAAGAGTCTAGTGGTGATGTATCGTTTTAAAGCCACCTTGGTATAATCTTATATTGATTATGATGATGTCTTCATGTTTTTGCTTTGATGGCCAACATGACTGTTCCCCTCTCCTGGAGCAATAGCTGGGTCTGTTCAGTGACAAAATCCTGACCCACAAACCCAAAGCTTCATTCACATAATATGGTTCAGCAAACATATTATGGCTTAGCCTAATGATTTGGTTCACACAACAGGCCGAGACAATGGTGAGTTTTCCCACTACGTGCTAAATTCCAAACAGGACCCATTTTAGCCTATCTCAAGCATTGTATGAACTCAGCCACTACATCGGTGGTTTTCAACCTTTTTCATCTCACAGCACACTGAAGATGCTAACTTGCGTGATCGCACATCTCCTAGGCAGGACTTCTAGGTTGCAAAACCGGAAGTCCTGTGAAGTCACAGGTTGCTGAGACTCAGGAGAAATGAAGGCAGGCCACCCCCAGTGATGTCATGGAGGCGGGGTTCTGGCTGTGCAGCTACGCAGCACTTTCGGTCATTTAGTTGTGGCTCGCTGATACGGCACACCTGTATCAAACATGCCACAGCAGAGCATGTAAACACTGCTGGACTATATGCACTACAATTAGGAGCAGTGGGGATTATGGTGGATAGATATGACCAAAGTTCTTAGAGCTTCTGTACACACCCGTGAATTTTCTTCAATTTCGCGACCTGCTGCGGCAATGGTCTCCACCAGCTCAGACACGTCTAGATCCTCGATGACCATTCCAATATAAATGCAGTTCTTCTCTGCTCCAAATTCTGGCCCTAGAAGGGAAGGGAAGGGAAGGGAAGGGGAGGGGAGGGAAGACAAGACCGTCAAGAATATATCACTGCAGGTTCTTTCAAGCCTGAAAAAAAGCTGCTGTAAAATATAAGCTGAGGTGCTGAGTATCTGATCAAAGACAGACAGCAGAAAGCTGAGGCAATAAGCAAATTTTCTACAATGCTCTTTTTAAAACGTCCTCCATCAAAACATAACTTGGGGGATTTGTCAAACCACGAATAAAGCCAGTATGGAAATTTAGCTTGAAAACAATACTGAATGCAAGGAAAGAACCATGGGATACCCCTTTTGAGCATCTTTGCATACAATGGGAACCCTGCTCACGAGGCAAGGATCCTCTAAAAATGAAACAAGGAAAAAAAAACTCCTTGATTAATAATTCCAGGAATGGAGATTAAATACATAAATGCAAATTTTCTCTGTGGTACTACTAGGTGGTTGCTGGGACAGGCTAATGCAGAAATAGAGGCATCGCCGTCTTACACATACATTCGCACATTTCATAGATAGCCGGTTACCTGAGGAAAATAGCAGATCTGATTCCAGTTCATTTAGCTTTTTCAGAAGGCCGCTGTTTATCTTCTCCACCTCTTTCTCCTGTTTGTCTTCATTCTGCCCCTTATACCTTTCAAAGCCAAGTCAAACGGGTTAGTAAATACTCCTTTGGGCACAGAAGCAAAAGGCATTCTGAAATCTTTACTAGTTTAAATCTTTAACCTAGTTTTAAAGATCTAACAAAAAGCTGTGATTTACTTCCATTCCTGCTTTTTTCCCCATCCCTATTGATCTATGCTTATGTAAACCACCTTACTTTGCATAAATTAATTGCTTTTGATCTAACTGGAAAAAAAACCATTTTCTTTAAAACATAAAATGTTGTGCCAAAGAGGAAGATGAAAGCATGAAGACTTGATGGTTGATCAGACTAGGAAACCAACGTCATGTAGGCCAATACTACTTTGACTGTAAAGTTATAGTAACAGAATCTTGCAAGTCTGAATGTGCCTCCCCCATCCCCTCTATCTTCTGTGAACTAGGGAGGGCTTGTCTTAGATGTTTATGTATGTTAACAGTTCTGCCCCAGACTCCCAAGTTTCTTTTATCTGACCAATGCCTTCGCAATGACTCTTCCTCCTGTTCCTCAAGGTCATTCCCTCTTTCCTCTACACATGCAAGGAGGAAGAATTGATTGTTCTTGAGCAGTATCTGGAAGCTCCAGACAAAGAGAAAGCATGGCTCTATACTAAGCTTGGTGCTGAAGACATACAAGTCTATATGCACCCTACACATATCAAGAGTTTCTGCGGAACACACACACCTGACCACACCAAGGCCAGGCCAGCTAAAATCTTCCACGTAGGACAAGCCGACGGTTCTTTTCACTTCTTGTTCAAATTCCTCTCTCAGCTGTAAAGTGCAGTTTAGAACGGGGACCTTCATTTTTAAGCAATCCACCAACTGGTCCACATCTTGAACTTCAGTTCCTAAAACTGAAAAGCTTGATACGTTAGCATGTCACCTGTCTTGTGTACAGGCCAGTATTTGGTAACTCAACCTGCAACCCAAGCAAATAATAATTCAGTGGAGAAGAAAAATGTCTTCCCTGCCTCCTGCATGAAGAAGTGGTGCACATGTTTCAAATTCCAAATAGCTGTTTCACATGCAAAACGGGCTATTCTGACTTCACAGAAAATGTTCTGACGCTGTTCTCACCTTAAAGGAGGCTTCCAAACTCTTTGTGGCCCCCCCACTGAGTTTGGTTGTTTCAAGCTCAGAATGTTACTGGTAAGAGCAGCCGAACACTTCCTGAGAGCCAGAAGAAACTACTTATTTCTAATCTGTTTCAGGCTCAAGATAGTATTATGGGCTGGAACCATTTTGAATTTGAGAAGTTTTGCACACCATTGCCTACACTTATTAATTTATTGCCTGATGATCACAGGGAAACATAAAGAACAACATACTCTGTACGATGTATGTTTGTACTAATTTGAGATGCAACATTAGGAAAGTTGGAGGTTGACATTTCTACAGTTTAAGACCAGCAGCAGTCTGGAAAAAACGAGATATATGGAATCTTAATAACAATGTTTAAGGAAGTGCAGTGTTTGTCCCGTAAATGAAAATTGCCCATTATGTGCAAAAGCAACCAGGTTACCTGCAGAAGTCATTAAGGGGCTGAATCTCACACAAGTGCCTTCATCCTCCAGATCCACCAGATCCACCCCACTGGCAGGAACCAACTGAGCCAACTGCTCTCCAAGCTATTAAAAAAAAAGAAAAGAAAGCACAGATCAAGTAAAGTAACAGATCTCCCACTGCATATAAATTACAATCTGTTTTCTAATCTGTGAACCACTCTGAAATAAGTTTCTTCTGCCTGCAGGCTGATTTTGGATGCTAAAACCTGCTCAGAACAAAGAAGGCCTGTTTTGGACTTCAGTTGGTGGTGATCTTTTGTGAAATGTATAGCAGACCTCACTCTTCCTAGTAACTATGTTAAAAACAAGGTTGGACTACTTAGGGTACTCAGAGCCAAACTGGCAGGTCCAACCCTGGCCTCTCCAGGCTTACTATTAGGTTGTGAAGGACCTAGAGGAATGTAATCAGAACATGGGCAACATAAGAATAGTTGCATGTGATCCATATATTTTGCATGCTTGCCATCCCAACCATCAAATACCTCCTGAATCATCTATCTCTGTCCTAACAGCATGGAGGAAAACGGTGCACCAGAAAAGCCTTTAGGATGTACATATCTACCCAAACATTGTTCCTTTTTGTGCTAAGTAACACTTGTACATTCTTTTCAGAATCTGAGAAAGTTTACATGCCAACTCAGACCCAAGGGGCTTGTACTGGGCTATTTCCCCCCCAAAAAGAAATCAAGATTTGAGTCCCAAAGTTTTGATCTACGCACTGTGAAGAAACATCCATACCTACCCACTGGTTAAAAGTATCACACGTGTCTCTCTCATTCCCGGTGACCGCAGATGATTGTGTGGCGTGTAACATATGATCTGAACTCAAAAGAACAAAAGAGAAATTGATTTAGCGCAAGAAATTAACACAGCACCAGCTAAACACCCACTTCCTCCCACCAATGGAAGCTGTAAGGAACATTTTTTCCCCTCAATCTGGGTAACAGCTAGAGTTCTTCAGAAGCATTGTTATGCAAGTTAAGATGGCAGGATTTAATTCTGAACTACGATTTCCTTTACAGATTTCAATATACTGATACCGCATCGGTGTTCATTAAAATAATGTGGGATTTAAATAGCATGCAGTCCTGATTTTCATGTAGATACCTGACATAATTTGCTTACGTGAATGATATATGCCATCGTATCAGACAGGACTCTGCGGTTTATAGATCTGTTTGAAATCAATTGCGTAGGTAATAATTCCAAGACCTGTCTTCAATAAATGTAAACATGCAATACCTTAAATATCACTTTTAAGATCTATAATTGGGGGGGGGGATATTAGAAAGCTAGAACTAAAATTAGCAAGGGTACAGAAGTTCACTTCCTTCTTATTAAGTGGCTGCTTTTCTCACTTCCTGATGCTAAAACAGGCGGAAGCGTTAATGAGAATAGATTATCAGCAAAACTATTGGTATGGTACTATTTTTCAACAAAATACAGATCTAGGGATCATGATGTGTTTTCCTTGTGCAATCCTCACCTATATGCGACATTTCTGGGGAAAACTTGAACACCACCACAGGAGAGCTAAATTCATCTTCGACCTTGAAAATGAAATTTGGAAAAATAAAAAGAAGTCCCGAGATAGCATTTAAATCAACCGTCCCCAATCAGATGCTTCCCAGGCGTGTTCGGAGACCAATGAAAAGAATTTACAGCCAGCCCAGCCAACGTATCACTTTTATTTGCCAGGGTTAACATTCGTATTAGAATAGAACCCAGTTATTAAAACTGAGACTGGATACTGTTGGACTCCATTACTGGCAGGAGCTGATGGGACTGGAGGCCAAAATACTTGGAAGGGCAGATGTTCCCCACTCCTGGGTTAGAAACTAAAACTCTGGCTCTTAATAGTAGTGTTCATCTCCTAAACCAAACTGTTGAATATTCAAGGTGCTGGTTGTTACTTATAAAGCCCTACATGGCATAAGGCCTGGTTGAGGGACTACTTGTGTTCCATAACATCTGCCCAGATGATCCGATCCTGCAGGGTTGGCATGCTCTGGGTGCCTTCAATTAATGTCATCTCTCAAGACCCTTGAGAGTGCACCTTCTCTGTATTGGTCCCCCCCGCTCTGGAAAAAGATTCCACACAAGATCCAGATGAATCCCACATGGCTGTTGTTTAGAAGAGCTGTGAAGACTCTTCACCCAGGCCTTTGGTAAGGGAGATGGAGAACCCCTGCTTCATTGCGGTTGTCATCTTTTACCTTCTTTTTTTATGTTTTATTTACTCAATTGTAATTTCTTTGATGGTTGTGAGCTGCCCAAGTTCTGGGAGTCAGGCAACATACAAGTTTAATAAATTATTATTATTATTTAAGGGGATAAAATATTGCCTAGTGTTTCAGACATGCTCCCTACATGCTGAGCTCTGATTATATATTTAGGCAAAATTGTTTTGTTCGTGCAGAATTTTGTCTAAAAGCTATGGTTGTCTTATCACAGGAGCACTTGTCTTGATCTGAAATAGGATTATCCCAGCCATTTCTGTCCTTGCCTTTCTCCTTTGTTGAGATGATCAATCTGTAATTACTTCCTAACCCGTTTAAATGTGCCAATTATTGGTGTAAACTAAGAGTTAGGGCTACTTTGGGAAAATAAAAGGCTGAAAATGGAAACATACTGAGGTCCTAATAAAATCTTGGTTCTTCAAGTTTTCCAATAGCCGTTGACTCTAAAAAAAAACAGGAACAGAGAGACCATTCAAAAGGTAATTCACTGTAGATGGGTATCAGGTCATGTACATTTACATAAAATGTAAAGCAACACATTAAAATCCAGCTGTTATATCAAGACTGACTAACATTTCAAACTCAAAATGTTTTACACAGCTCTACTATTCTATATACTATCACTTTACTATCATAATACTACCACATGCTCACCCGCAAGATTTAAAATAGGCACTAAATGCCTCTGGATAAAGCTGCTGCTGTGCAACTGTACTGCCTGATTCATATAATTTTATGCTCTTTTCCAATGTGTGTTGTATGGATCCGCCCATCCCATGAAACTGTCACACAGTTAATTTGGATAAAGGGATGTCCACCGGCGGGGTATGTCAAAAAAGTGAAGATGATGGCCAAAACTCTGCATTATGGGTAAAAAAGGGGTAGGGCTTCAACCATGCAGTTTTAGCCATCAGACCTGAGGAAATCTGGACACAGGATGTTATGTGAAGACAGGAACTGCCTGTGTTTTGATAATGCAGATTTGGGGTTAAGCATATTGTGTGAATCCAACTATTCTCCTTCTGCCTTTTTATTTGCCCCCTGACCCGAATCCCTTATATCCCTCTTGACACTCCACTTTCTCTCCCACTGCTGGCACCCTGGGAAGAGAAGGCAATAACAAGCTTTTGGTGCCAACCAGCCCGGGCTCCTATGAGATCATGTCACTGGGAAAGACACAGAACTCAAAGCGATCTCCCTCCTTACCAGCTGGGAGGCATGCTTAATTCTTTCCACAATCCCATCATGGCCAAGGTACTGCAAGGACAGCCACAGTGACAGGGCACGCAGTTTCTCTACTACCTGACTGGAGGTCAGGCCTGCCGCTAAAGACTGAAAGAAGTCCAATAAAGAAGTAAATACCAGATGTACGTATATTTATTTATTATGTCTTTATTAGCCACATTAATATAGCCGCCCATCTCACACAAAGTGACTCTGGGTGGCGTACAACAATTAAACAGAACAGCAAATAGGTGGGAAAAAATCATTATAAAAAGATAAAAAGCAATGATTAAAATAAACATACGAGCAAAACTTTTAATTTTTTTCTCGTTTTGTCTGAATTTGCTCTGCTCGTTCCAAAAGCTAAATTGGAGTAGGGGAGCAAAAAACAGCAATGGCCACCTGAAGCAAACATTAAAAACTCAAGGTATCTTCTCCTATTACTTTCAGATTTAAAAGATTGGTCTTCTAGGATCTGGTATCCAGGTGTCCCCAAAAGTCACCTTTGAAAGAGTATCAAAGGGGGGGAAAAACCCCTAAAGCTAAGTCAACTGTGCAGGCACTTCAAAAGAGCCAACCTCTGCTGCTTGATTGCACAGCTTAAGAATCATCAAGCAAAATGATGCCGCTCCATCTCATATTGTGTTTGACCACCTTCCCCTCTCCTTTTGGCGCCTCTGCCAAGCACAGAGCACAGATTTTATGAAGTCTTTGCAGTCTGCTCAATAACTGCAGGGCTGAATTTGGCTTGAGTGGGACCGTATAGCACGTGTTCTCAACGCAGACAAGTTGTGAGTTCAAACATCATCATCTCCAGTTTAAAAAAAAACCAGGGAGTAGATGATGGGCTCCCCACAGAGTCGTGAGCAGTTGGACTCCTTGAGCCATGATAAATCCCAATATATTGTTGACAATAATGCGCTGCAGAGAGCTTCAGGGACACCCTTCTCCTGCCACTTGTCCTCCACTGCATTAAATGCCAACCACCTACCAAAGAAGGATCCTCGTGTCTGTAGAGAGTCACTGCAGGCACTGCTGGAAGACCCAACCAGGGTCCGAGGGTCAGTGTCATGCTGTCACATTTTGTTGCTGCCTACAAAAAGGGAGCGGGAGGGAGTGGAAATGCAGTTTTATTTTTTTAATGCATTGGAAAAATGAAAGATAGGGCATTTCTAAGGAGACGTGGCTGAGTCAAGAGAAGATGCAAAAATTGATCCAAAATGGCTCACCAGGGAATTTTTTTAACAGGGTTAGTAGGAGAGACCTATGGGTAGAAATTTGTTCAGATGCAATAGCAGAGAGTGGTTTGCCTGCCAGCTAGGCTTAAAGCATGATCTGCTGAATTAATACTAGCAGCTAACCACGTTTTTTTATAAACTGCAGTTGGAAATTTTTAATCCCTCGTCAGAACATGAGGGAGCGTAAGAGCCAAGACCGTGCTTGCTTGTTCTCTCATGACTGACTATCATTTCATGTTATATCTGAATACAATAATGCCAATGAGAGCCACTTTTACAGGCACAATGAATATCCTTACATTTATGCCAAGTTCCTTTCTTATATACAGTGCTGCATAAGTTCTTACTGGTTCTACATCGTAAGATTTCTGAAAGAGACTTATATACTTGGTTCAATACAGAAAATATTCACTTTTGCCAAACCAGTTGTTGAACTTTAACAATTTAAATTTAACAGTTTAAAGTTCAGTTCAACTGAAGAATGTTTTATAGTATTTAAACAAAATGTTCTAACTTTTGATTTCTGGATAATTTTTAACGTGACTCTTGAAAATATAGCCAAGTCCTACAATCTACATCTACTGTATATTTCTAGATGGGGAAAGTCCAATCAGAGAATTTTAAAATAGTCAATAATCAAAGATATTTGGGTTTGGAAGAGCCCAAGGCCCAGAAACCAATTCTTTCCAGGTGATTTTTCGCCTTACAGTAGACCACAGTTAAAGTAAATTAAATAATTTACAAACAGCGCCTTTCTGCTTTTATGAAGTACATAAAGTATTGCTTTCGTTTAAAAAGAAACACCAGCATACCAGTATGGAAGATGAGACGTAACCCAAAGCCAGAGTGGCTAGATTCACCCTGAAAAAAATAAACCCTTTTAGTAGGTTGAATATAACACCCTTCCCCTAAATCACCACATTTTAATTTACATTAATTAATGTATTATAAGATAGATAGATAGATAGATAGATAGATAGATAGATAGATAGAT